GCTGGATACAGTCATGCTGTGTCTCATAGGCATTCTACCCTAGCAGACTGTAAGCTTCTGGAGAGAAAGCTCTTTGTCTGAGTTTCTTGCTTGCTGTCATATCCTGGGCATAGGAAGTCTTTGGTGTATGAATCAACAGGAAGAAACTATGTTCTTGCTAGGCTTCCACCCAATCTATGGCCCCAGTTAGCAATATGAGTAGCATATTATAAGACAAACATAAAGTAACACTCCCAGAGACTTTACTGATGGCACTGGGTGAAATGGTTGTATCTCTTACCCGTGTTAAAATTCCACAGAGAGTGACAGGATAATCAAACACAAGTTCTTCTTGTCGGACTCGAGTTGCTGGACAGCCAGTCCCCAGAAATAATTCGTCAGGGCCTACTATTTCTTCTCTACCGAACAGTGCTCTTTTCGCTATAGCACGAAAATTTAAATATGTGCATTCCACCAACACTGTTGAAAGAGGCCAAAAAAAAAAAAAAAATCAGACAGCAATTCTATTTCAATGAACAGCTCAAAGGAGTGTGAGCAGGACTAGAGAACACAAAGGCAGGCCATCTTCAGCTGAAAGAAATGAAGCTTGGAGATTTGTGTTAAAATTATTCCTTTCATGGTACTACTTTTTCTCCAAAACAACAAAAATCAACCTGAGAAGATGCTGTGGTGACCAGCACCTGAGCCTCCTCATTTTGCCAAAGAATAGAGGTCCATGTCTTTACCAGGGCACTCATACTACGTTCCCTGATACCTGGCGTCTTGTTAAAACTGGAACCCTTGAAAGTTGATGCCACATTTTAACTTTTAAGAGCATGGTTATGTGCCACACAGTGGGCCCTTGCCATTGAGATCCAACGCATGGTGACCCATGTGCTACAGCATAGAACTACTACTCCCTATGGTTTTCTTGGCTATATTAATGACAGCAGCTTGCCAGACCTTTGTTCTGCAGTACCAGCAGGTGAGGTTTGAAGCCATCAACCATTAGATTAGTAGTCAAGAGCAAACCATTTGCACCATTTATTTTCACTTTTGAGCACTTAGAACAGTTTAAGAACAGCTTATATATCAGCAAGATTTAAAAATTGACGTCTGCTTCCTCTCAGATGACCAAGTCTCTGTGGTCTGCACGGTCTGAATGTGTTACAGACGGTTCTGTACTGGCTTCTCCTCAGCTACTGGAGAGAGATGCAAGTGAGGGAACAGTCTGAAAGTGTTTGTTATGTGCCGTCGAGTCAGACTCGACTCATGGCAACCCCTCCTTGGGTTTCCAAGGGGGTATCACTACGGAAGTAGATTGCCCAACCTTCCTTCCCAGGAGTGGCTGGTGGCTTTGAACTACCAACCTCCTTGTTAGCAGTCAAATGCCTTAGGCACTAGCTACTAGAGCTCCTGCATTTTATCAAGGTGGAATCAGACACCTGGGCCAGTTTGTGCCACACCCAGGTGGCTGGGGGGGAACACACTGGAGTTTTAAGGGGGGGTTTGGTTAGAATTGTATCTTATTTATTCAACAAAATTCTGGAGGGAGAGAGGGGCAATTAGAGAAGGGGTGTGAGTTAGGAATGTGTGGTTAAGAGATTCAGGTGTGAAGTGGTGAAGGGATGGATGAGGTACCAGTAATGGGAACAGAAAATCATGTGAAGAGCAGATGGGGCCAAGGATGACTTTCTGGGAGATTCCAGTAGGCACAGGGGTTAAGTGCTTGGCTGCTAACGGAAGGGTTGGTCGTTTGAAGCCAACTACGCTCCATGGAAGAAAGACCTGGCAATTTGCTCCTGTGAGGACTGAGCAAACATCGTCAAGCCCATTGCCCCTCAGGTTGATTCCAACTCACAGCATCTACATAGATCAGAGCAGATCTGCCCCTTAGGGAAGCAGACTGCCACATCTTTCTTCTGCAGAGCAGCTAGTAGATGCAAACTGCCAACCTTTTGGTTGAAAGCTGAGTCTTTAACCCCTGTGCCACCAAGACTCCATTTGTA